AGATGATAAAGGTGTACCTAATGAATATAAAGGTAGAGACTGTAAGCCAGAGGAAAGTTGGGACACTGAGACATTCCATGTAGCAAAGCCAGTTACAACCAGGAAGCTTAGGGTAGGTTACCACCATGGAAGAGGACCCCCACAGAGAGTAGATGAAGGAAGAGAGCTTACTAGAGAAGAACTAGAAATGAGGAGAACTTACTTTTGCCAAAGGACATAGAAAGATGCTTATTGATTATTTAAAAATACGGGATTTAGGAACAAATACTACTATCATATTATTAGGACATGAAATAAGGCAAGAAAGTGCTGTAACTGTACCACGGGTGCTTAATTCATGTTTAATGCAGATAACCACTCAGCATCCAAATAGGAAATTTTCTTGTGGGCCTGCACAGCTAAAGCTTTGGGCAAAACACGTCCCATTATAGAGCTAACTGCTTTAGGAGATTCTGCTACATGGGGCAGTAACCAGGAAGCTCTAAGAACAGCACACAAGGGAGAAGGACTAGCTTTAATATATGAGAAAAACCCTGAAATTAACAAATCAATGCACATAGCAGCAAATAATGGTATTAAAAAGGTTATATTAAGAGAAGTGCTACCACATTTTAAAATGTCATATATGAACCTCCAGGACTCAAGCCAACACCGTGGAGGATACAATTATAATTACATCTTTAGCCCCACCATTTGATGTTCTCACCAACAGTTTTGTTTTTCCCACTTCTTCACCAACACTTGTTACTACCTTTTTTTATAATAAAGTAGCCATCTTGTTGAGTAACTCATTGGGGTTTTCATTTGCCGTTTACTATTGACTAGTGATACTGAGCATCTTTTCATGTACTTATCAACCATCTCTGTCTCTTACTTCGAGAAATGCCCCCCCAAAATTAAAAAAAAAATTATATCTTTATATTAGCTAAAGATATACAAGGCACTAAAAGATTTACTTTTTAAAAAAAGATTTATTTTTATTTTTTTTATTTGAAAGAGTTACAGAGAAGAAGGCAGGGAAGATATTGTCCATTCACTGGTTCATTCCCAAATGGCTGCAATGGCAAGAGCTGGGCCAGGCCAAAGCCAGGAGCCAAGAGCTCCTACATATAGGAAACCTCAGAGATCTCTTGTGTATGAAATATCAAATGTCAGGCCATAGATAAGATTCTATATGGAAAATGCACATCAAGTATTAGAATTTTTAATAACAGGTCTCAAGTAAGCTTACTTAGGAAAATACATAATAGGACATATAAGGATAATATAAATATAAATGTAGCATGTCTAGGAGGAATAATAGTACTAGCATATGAAACTAACATTAATTTTAAATTATAATAGTGATCTAATATGATGTAGAGTGTTTACCTCTGAGCAAGTAGAAAATATTCTGAGGATGGACATAATTCCAATATTGCTCAAGGAGTTCATTTCATTAAAAAATGTTAAAGGAAGTTAATGAAGACTAGCATCAATAAAAATAACTCCTAAAAAATTGCCACAGCCATTAAAGTTTACATTTACTCAACAAAGTCCCTTGAAGGGAGAACACAGAAAATAACTTTAAAAATATTTGAGTTACAAAAAGATGGCATACTTGAAAAAGGGAGAAGTCACCTACATAATTATCCAGTAAGACCAATTATCAAGCCAATGGACAATATAGATTGACTGCAGACTGTAGAAGTTTAAATCAAGTCAGCCAAAAACTGCCTGGAGCCTTGTCAGAGGTGGAGGAGATTAGTCATAAAATTACTAGTAGTAGTAGTAAATTTTTCACAATGGTTGATATGTCAGTTATGTTCTTTGCCATGCCTTTAAATAAAGATTACATCTCATTTACATGGGAATGTGTGCAATTCCATTTTAACAGACTGCCCCAAGGTTATTTAAATTTAAACACTCATGTTGTGGCTCATTTAATAATGGGTTAATACAGGTGAAGTTGGACTCATTCCAAAATTACATATTGAGAAAATGTTAGATTCCTATGAATTTAGTCCACAGGAATCTGAGGCAGAATTAACTGATAAAGATGTGATGGAAGTGCATCATCTCACAGGATGTGCAGGTGTACACAGCCATTATGAATGCTTTCAAAAGCAGAATCAGAAAATGTTCTGATTATGGCAGAGAATACTGTTGAGATCTTGTGAAAAATGTGAACATTTTACAGATAAATTTAGATTTAGAGAAGCACTTGCTACTTAGAAACCTGACACATCTGACAGATTTAATTTTATGTGTCAGATTGATTTTATAGGCCCTAGGGAATTATCCTATAAAAATATGACTGTCCCATGTGGATATCTATTCAGGGATAGGAATGACTGTGTCCTCTAATTATCCAGCCAAATTAAGCACGTTAAAAGCCATTTAAAGTTGATGTAGCCATTATGGATCACCAAAAATTGCTGCAAGTGACGAAGAGTCACACTGAACTGCTAAAAGAATTCAATATATAATTGATCTTTTGGGTACCCAATGGAATTTTCATTTGAGCTAATCCAACTGCATCAGGTTTTGTTGAAAGATTAAATGAATTGAAGGAGAACTGCAGTTGATAGATATACAGCCTAGTCTGCAGCAAGCTTTAGACTTAGCCTGTTTAACTTAAAGAGAAATATTCCATAAACAATCACCTCATAGCTATTTAAACCCTGCACCGAATATTTACAGTTCTCCAAATACCACTATAATCCCTAAATTAACTTATAAGGTGACAGCAAAAGATCACAAAAGTAATCTGTTTCCACAGGGATTCTTTGGAGATGGACACGGGAACATTTATTGGACAGCTAATAGGCATGGGAAAGCAGTTAGCCAAAATGACCCAACTTTGACCCCGCTGATTGTATTACTAATTTTATTTTTCTTTTCCCTAAAATTGTTATATTATTAGTTATGATTTATATAACTAGCTATGCACCCTACCCTTAAGGATCCTTTCTCCTCTGTATTACCAGAGGGAAAACATTTGCTTTTACATTTAGATGCTTAAATTAGCTGAAGATCTACAAGGCACTACAAGATTTACTTTTAGTGCTTGAAAATTACAACCTAAAAATACTCCACCAGTCAGATCCACTTAAACCCAAGTTTAACGATCACTTAAACCTAAGTTGGAGTAAGTTTTTTTTTTCTATTTTTATTTAATGAGCATAAATATCCAAAGTACAGCTTATGGATTACAATAGCTT